AAAAGAGAAAACCGAAAAATGTTAAAGAACCTATTAACTAACTTTTTGTCCTCTACCAAATATCAAAAAAAAGTTTTTGTGACATAAGCACTTTAAAATTCCCAGACTGTTCTGCGAAGTTTCAAGATCAGCATGCGGAGAAGTGCAGGTTTCACCAGTTGAAATTGTTAGTAATGATGCAAAATACTACTCAAGCAAATTTTCAGAAGTGATTTAATCGATATCTTCCATAAAATTTATTTCTGAATAGGCAATAATATTAATAGACAGTAGATAATATTAATAGGGCCTCTTGTGGTGAAATGTGAAACAACGGATTTTTCATCCAACAATTTGACACGACTCGACTCGAGTCGAAAGCACCCCAACAATTTGACACGACTCGACTCGAGTCGAAAGCACCCCAATAACTTGACTCGACTCGAGTCGAAAGCACCCCAATAACTTGATGCGACTCGAGTCAAAAGCACCTCAATAACTTGACACGACTCGAGTCAAAAGCACCCAAATAACTTGACTTTTGACTCGAGTCGAAAGCAGCCCAATAACTTAACTTGACTTGAGTCAAAAGCACCCCAATAAATTAATAAGACTCGAGTCGAAGAATGCAGCCCAATAACTTAACTTGACTCCAGTCGAAAGCAGCCCAATAACTTAACTTGACTCGAGTCAAAAGCACCCCAATAAATTGATACGACTCGAGTCGAAGAAAGCAGCTCAATAACTTAAACTGTCTGTACCAGTGTAGGTAGTACCAATGTAGAAATGCTGTGCTGAGTGGTTATATTACTACCTTAAAAAATAAGCAGAAACTCAAATAACTCAAATAAGCAGAAGCTCAATAACTTAACTTGACTCGAGTCGAAAGCACAATAACTCAAATAAGCAGAAGCTCAATAACTTAACTTGACTCGAGTCGAAAGCACACCAATAATTTAACTTGACTCGAGTCGAAAGCACACCAATAACTTAACTTGACTCGAGTCGAAAGCACCCCAATAAATTGATACGACTCGAGTCGAAGAAAGCAGCCCAATAACTTAATTTGCCTCCAGTCGAAAGCAGCCCAATAACTTAACTTTTGAGCCTCGAGTCAAAAGCACCCCAATAAATTGATACGACTCGAATTTGCCTCCAGTCGAAAGCAGCCCAATAACTTAACTTTTGACTCGGGTCGAAAGCATCCCAATAACTTAACTTGCCTCGAGTCAAAAGCACCCCAATAAATTGATACGACTCGAATCATCGAAAGCAGCCCAATAACTTGACACGACTCCAGTCGAAAGCAGCCCAATAACTTAACTTGACTCGAGTTAAAAGCACCCCAATAAATTGAACTGTCTGTACCAGTGTAGGTAGTACCAATGTAGAAATGCTGTGCTGAGTGGTTATATTACTACCTTAAAAAATAAGCAGAAACTCAAATAACTCAAATAAGCAGAAGCTCAATAACTTAACTTGACTCGAGTCGAAAGCACACCAATAATTTAACTTGACTCGAGTCGAAAGCACACCAATAACTTAACTTGACTCGAGTCGAAAGCACCCCAATAACATAACTTGACTCGAGTCAAAAGCACCCCAATAAATTGATACGACTCGAGTCGAAGAAAGCAGCCCAATAACTTAATTTGCCTCCAGTCGAAAGCAGCCCAATAACTTAACTTTTGACTCGGGTCGAAAGCATCCCAATAACTTAACTTGCCTCGAGTCGAAAGCAGCCCAATAACTTCTCCAGTCGAAAGCAGCCCAATAACTTAACTTTTGACTCGGGTCGAAAGCACCCCAATAAATTGATACGACTCGAATCGAAAGCAGGCAATAACTTGACACGACTCCAGTCGAAAGCAGCCCAATAACTTAACTTGTCGAAAGCACCCTAATGGCAGCAGCCCAATAACTTGACACGACTCCAGTCGAAAGCAGCCCAATAACTTAACTTGACTTCAGTCGAAAGCATCCCAATAACTTGATACGACTTGAGTCGAAAGCACCGCAATAACTTGAGTCGAAAGCACCCTAATGGCTAATAACTTGAACTTTCTTATATTTTTGGCAGTGAGCATGCACTCAAGATTGTGCGCCATTAACACATATTCAGATTCAATAAAGAAGAGCAATCACTGTCTGAGATTATATATGTAATATGAGACACAGCCTACAAAAACCGGTTTGACTGGGTTAAATAAAACTGAATTCGTCGTATTATTTTTGGCAGTGAGCATGCACTCAAGTTAAGAGTGTGTAAAACAACGGTAACTCCGAAAATAAACATTTTAATAATATTCTAGCTTTCGACTAAGATTCAGTCATACTCAGTGGTTCCCGTAATTTTTAAGAGTGTGTGTCATCACAGTTATTAACTGCGGTGTCATTGACCTGCAAGACACAGCTTACAAAAACCGGTTTGACTGGTTTAACTGAATGTTTGCGACATCATGGGGTCCTGTTGCATCTATGTTTGTTTTGTTGCTAAGCTGCGCATGAACAACACATTTATACACATAAGCTGCATTTGATATTAATTAATAGACAACTTGCATGTTAGACTAATTCTAGATTTAGGCAAAAAAAAGTAAATTCCCGTAAAGGACTTATCAAAATCAGTAAAATTGCAAAATTTGGTTACGAAATGTTGTAAAATACAGAAAATATAGCCTTGCAAAGTTTGCATATTTTCAGTATGTTTGTATTACGTGCGGAAATTGTTACCATTTTTGAGCCAAAAATTATATATTTTCTCTATTTTACAACATTTCACAACCAAATTTTGCAATTTTACTAATTTCATTATGTTCTTTATAACTGTTGTGTTTGATTCCCTTCTCTTTACTTAGATTAAAATTTAGTCTAACATGCAAGTTGTCCATTAAAATGCAACCTCACTGCAATGTGTCTTTCTTAACTCTTTCTCAGCAGGGTCCATTACGCGTAGAACGTGCTGTAATTCGTTCATATCTTTGGTTCAGTACACGCTATGTAGATGAAAATACCACCATTCGATTCAGTATAAAAATATACACTAATTTTTAACGATAGTTTTAGTCAGTGGCTAAATTGTAGCGATTTATGAGCTTTGAAAGTCAAGCGAGCTTGTATTTGATCAAATTACACAATATTACTAACAAATTTATAAACATAGACGAGGATGGCTAAATGGCGTGGGTGGGTGGGTCGTGCGTCGTGGGTACGGTGTTGGGCGTCGTATAGACAATGAAAATATTTTTTAAGACGGATAGACGGCAGACGGACGGACGGATGGATGAGAGGGTAAAAAACGGATATGAAGGCATATAGAGTGGTATTTGTATTTTTCATGCAGAATTAAAATCCAACCTTTGCAACTTTCATGCTTATTTTTCTTTGTTATCTGGGTATGTAGTAATTTAATTTTATGCCACTATAATGTGCTGTTTTTCAAGGGCTTTTTAATGCAGTTATCGGTCCTAAAAGTAACATTCCCGTTGAGATATGACAATTTCAGTACGGCCTACTTTTACGCAAACGCGAATTACAATGGCAACATTCATGCTTAATTTTCTCTGTTATGAGGACAAGGAGAGAATGGGCCCTTTAGCAATTTTGCCCCACCCTGACTGAAGAATCCTTAAAAAATGTACTGTTTTGAAGGACTTTTCAATGCAGTTATCCGTTTAAATACCTAAAGTTTTGACGAGCTAGTATACCGCCCAGATAACAGACAAAATTAAGCATGAAAGTTGCAATTGTAATTCACGTTTGCGTAAAAGTAGGCCGTACGGTTTTCAAAAAAATGGAGCGACACAGTTTTCAATAAAATGGAAAATTCACCATTTAGATCGGTATTTTAATAAATTGTCAAAATAATTGAGTATACTAAAAGAAATCATTTTATGAAATAAAAATTGGGGGTAGGCTGTTGTGGTATTTGAAAAAAAAACGAAAACCGATACCAGAAAAAAAATACCGATAATACCGATATATCGATATTTTTTCGCGATTGTATTTTGTTTAATTTTATGCAAAATTTGCTTAATTTTGTGCAAAATTTTCTGTTTTCAAATTCTGCCAAACAGCCACGATATAACAGCTTTGACTCATCGGGTGCGTGATATTTTCAATAAAGTGTGAAGCCAGTGATCAGTAGCCTGTGATGTGTCCGCTTTACGAATTGAAAATGCATATTACTTAATATTAGCATTGATTACCGCACCGGATGAAACATGTGTGATACTTTTGTCCGGGAAATTGTTTCAAAACATTTTATTCAACTGCGTGTTCGAAACAAAGATCGTCCTATATCACCAGAAAACTAACAATGTCCAATGAGGTTAGTTCTTGTTTTTCTAAAACATTTGTAATCCACCGTTGTTTACGTTCTAAAAGTTCACGAGCGAAATGACATATTACCTATAACTAAGGCCCTGTTTACACTATACCGGATTCACTGGTCACGACATCTTCTTTTGCCGTTACGGAGCAATGGTTAGTAGCAAATGCTTATTAGTTTGACAGAATTGGCATGTTTATTTGGGTCTCTGAGATTAAAAATCTTCACAGCC